TGAAACAGGGCAGCCCCGGCGAGCAGTGTTTCCTGAACGTCATAATTACATGCTCCCTGTTCTAAGGGAACACACGCACAGCGCCGGGCCTCCGGCAGTCACGTTCAACACAGTCAGACCACGCTGTGATGTGACTCAGACCAGAAACTGTGGGCGTGGTCGGGGCAGGATCCCAGCAGTCACTCAGCCCCTCAGTCCACAACCTTTCTGGCATCTGAGGCCTCAGGTCACAGAAACAAGGTTCCCAAAACTCAAAGAATGACAGGTATTCTCAGAACTGACACCAAACACTCCGCACACCACACTCCTCTTGGCCCCAAGGAAATTCAGGTCAGATTTGAGAAAACAGAAATCGTGGTTCTGAGCGGGCGGCTCACCCTGCCCCGCACCCACGGGGGTGGTCACATCTTACATCGCCTGCATCTCCAGGTGCCTTGGGTCCACCCCCCAGCGATCACTGTGAGGACAGGGCTGCCCCACTGGCCCTCCAGCCAGTGTCCTGTCACTAAGGCTCTGCTCCTCCTTTGCAGCTCCCAGTCCCCCCGTGAGCACAACTCTCCTGGGCAGACCCGCAGCGCGTGGAGCTGGCTTCAAGTACGAGCGGTGGGAAGGAAAGCAAGAGCTCGTCTTTAAAACCACCGCGTGCAAATCCAACAGGAGCCGGCTGTGAGCCGAACCCTGGAAACGGGAGCCTGAACCGGAAGAGGAAAATGAGTCTTCTCAAAGAGCGGAAGCCCAAAAAGCCGCATTATATCCCCCGGCCTCCGGGAAAGCCCTTCAAGTACAAGTGTTTCCAATGTCCCTTCACCTGCAATGAGAAGTCCCATCTCTTCAACCACATGAAGTATGGTCTCTGTAAGAACTCCATCACTTTAGTCTCGGAGCAAGACCGTGTCCCCAAGTGCCCCAAGTCTAACCCTCTAGACCCTAAGCCCACACATCAGCCGGACCCCACGGTGAAGCCCGCCGCCTCCAAGCCTGTCACCCACAGCCTCCCCGCCTTGGACCCCAAGCTCCCGCTCGGCCTGGCCAAGGACGATGCCAAGGAGAACCTGGGCCTGCAGCTGCGGGGGCCCCACAAGGAGGCCGAGCAGCGGGGTCCAGCCCCAGAAGCCGCGGCGGGCACCCCGCCTGCTCTGGAAGGCGTCGGGCGGCCGTCGGCCTTTGTTCCTGTCGGAGAGCACAGACTCAAAGGGCCAGAACACGCCGAGGCTCCCGAGGCCCTGGCACTGCCCAGCGCCACCGCCAAAGCCACCACTTTCCACACCAAGTCTGCATTCCACGCCCCTGCCTACCCCTGGAAGGCTGGCTCGCCTTTCCTCCCGCCCGAGTTTTCACATAAAATCCCACCCACCAAGGGGTTTGGGGCCCTTTCCCCTTACATGCACCCCACAATTCCCGAGTACTCGCCCCACTTTTACACGGAGCATGGACTGGCCACCATCTACTCCCCCTACCGACCGGCTGGGAGCTCGCCCGAGTGTGATACCCCCCTGCTGTCAGTCTACGGGGCCCAAGACCAAAGACACTTCCTGTCTCACCCGGGGCCGATGCCCAAGCACTTGCACCCGTCCCCCCTGACGTACGACCACTACCGGTTTTTCCAGCAGTACCACCCCAATCTGCCAGTTCCTTATGGGTTCTACAGACCGGAGTCTGCCTTCTCCTCCTACGGCCTCAGACTCCCGCCCGTCCCTGGAATTGCACAGAACCAGAGCCCTCACCTGCTGGAAGAAGCTGCCCTGGCCTACCCAGCCTCAAGCCCATCCAAGTCAAACCCTTCCCACACCCACAGAAAACACACGGAGTTTGAGAAAGGGAGTCCGACCGCAGAGGCTGAAGACCCTTCCAAAGAGAGGCAGAGGGACACAGACGGGACCAAGATGAGCCCACGTGCAGGCAGCGCGGCCACTGGCTCCCCGGGAAGGCCAAGTCCTACCAACTTCACACAGACAAGCCAGCCCTGCGCTGGGCTGGGCGACCTCTCGGACAAGCCCATGGTGAACGCCCTGGGAAGGCTCCAGCAACCAGAACGGAGCCTCACAGCCTTCAAACCCATCCAGAAAAGCACCGAGCGCACACACTCCCAGGCTCCAGAAAACAGAGACGACCCCCCACAAAGGTAAGGACGTCTCCTCTTCAGAACCCTCACAGTGTGTCTCTGGCTGTGCTCCGTTAAGCAAGCTTAGACTCCCTCTAAAAGCATCGCACAGCCCTAGCCGGTGTGGCCCAGCGGATAGAGCGTCGGCCTGCGGACTAAAGGGTCCCGGGTGATCCCTGGTTTGATTCTGGTCAAGGGCACATACCCGGGTTGCGGGCTTGATCCCCAGTAGGGAGCATGCAGGAGGCAGCCAATCAATGATTCTCTTTCATCAATGAAGTTTCTATCTCCCTCTTCCTTCCTCTCTGAAATCAATAAAAGTATATTTTAAAAAATAAATAAAAATAAAATGAAAGCTTCACACGGCAGCTCTTCTACATGACGTCCTTGCTAAGCCTTCTCTTCTCTTTTCCTCTTCCAGCCTCGATGCCATGGACATCGACACTCCAGCCCGGGCAGGCAGCACCTCGCGCAGCGTGGAGGCCCTGCCGCCCAGCCCAGAGGACAGCTCCAGGATAGCCCCGCTGAACCTCTCCAAGAAACCGGAGGCCAGATCAGCAGCAGCTCCCGGCCCCCTATACACAGACTTCCCAGAGCTGCAGGACGTGCCTCTCAACCTCTCGGTGAAGGACCCCTGCAATGCCCTGACCCTGCGGCCTTCCCCCCACAGCCCAGCGCCAGAGGTGGAACCTGCCACTGCCACTGATCAGAAGACCGGGCCGGAAGGTTCTGGAGATGGGCCAGGACATACAGAGACGAACCAGAACGGCCTTGGCTCTGATGAAGTTCCAACGACCAGCCCCACTGGGAAGGCCCAGGACACACGGGCCATGGACAGCAGCGACGAGCAGAAGCAGACGGCAGCCGTGGCCCTCTGCCAACTGGCAGCCTACAGCCCGGGCACTGTCCGGGTGGGCGATGGGGAGCCTATGACCCAGGAGTCCACCTGCCAACCAGACACGCCAGCTCTCAGCGCCACGGCGAGCCAGGAGCCTCAGAGTGACCTCAGACCCAAAGGGCAGAAGAGGACAAGCCCCCGGGATTCGGGGAAGTCCCAGCAGGGAGTTAAGAAGGCGAAGCTGAGCGACACGGCCAGGGTGTCCACACTCCGGAAAAGGACTCGGGTGTCCTAGTGCTGGCTCGCGGCAGGAGAGCTGGCACAGCACACGCCTCTGAAGCAGGCCGCAGGGCAGCACATCCGCCACAGCCCTGCATTTTCTATCTGGTCCATTTTTACAGCAGTTTTTTCTTCTCAAAAAACAAAATACACATAAAGAGAAAAAGAAAAAAAACACACAAAGAGCTACGATTCAGCTCACTTTTTGTAAATATTAAGCATGAATATTATAAGGTGCTTCCGCTTGGGACTGTAAAAATATTTGACTCATACTCTAAGACTGATGAGTTAGACACTGGCTTTTATTTTTATAATAAAATGAATGAAATAGGTTGGACTAAAAGGTAACTTTCAGGTATAAGCCATGTCATAGGAAATCTTTTAAAAGTACTTTTCTTATAAATACAATTCTTACACTAGAACAAAATGGTCTCAACTGTATCCGTAAATCTACTGTGTTGTGAAGTAACAATGACTGGAAATGCCAGGAGCAGCATTTTCAGCACCAGCATTAACGTGCTGAGGACACTGTGCCTGGTTGTGAGTAAGTAATACACAAACATCAGGAGGCTACTTATAGAAATAATTTATTTCCAGGAGGGAAAATGTATTACTGGTGGAGCTATTATCAACATAGTCCATTCCATATAATGTTACAGTGAACTTTCTGATTCATGCAGCCTCACTTTCCACTTCCTAAAATGATGTATATATTGCCAATTTTCCAATAAACTCATAGATAAACTTGAAGGGTACACAAAATGAAGACAAATGTGAACTCTGTGTTATCTTTTAGAGTATTTGGCCATAATAAACTCAGTGAAAAAAGAGACTAGAGCTGAGGCAACAATTAAAAGAGAATGAGAGTGAGTGTGAGTGTGTGTGCACGTGTGAGCATGAGAGTGCACATGCAGCCCAGTGGGCACCAAGCGCAGGCATGACCCACCTCGCTCCTCTGAGCCCTCCCCCAGGGCCCTGGGCCTCGGAGCACTGCAGGAGGACAAGTTTCCAGAGCCTGGCTTCCTAAAGGGCTGCTGAGAGGGCCGGCGGGCCTTCGAGCTCCTCCTCCCCAGCTCTTCACAGCAGCCCTCTGTTTCTCCCACATGTACCCCACCGGGGATGTCAACAAAGGCCCTGGAGAGGCATGTGGTGCTGAGGTGGATTCACTCCAGGGACTTGGGGGGAAGTCCTCAACCAGGCTGGTGGTGGTCACCAAAATGCAGGTCCAGTGACGTCAGCAGACAAACTGCTAAAGCAAGAAAGCCATTCCCACCACCTGTGTATGTAACAAGGCTTCTCAGCACAGAGCTAAAAAATAAAATGTTTTAAATAAAAATAAAATGTATGTACAACCTTGCCTCATCCTAAGGGATAGCCTGAACTACCCTGGTCGGGAGGCTCAGTTGGCTGGAGCAGCGTCCCATGCACCAGAAGGCTGTGTGGGTTCCATCCCCAGTTACAGTGCATGCAGAGGGCAACCGATCAATGTTTCTCTCTCTTCCCCTTCCTCTCTCTCTAAAATCACTAAAAACATATCCTCAGGTGAGGATTAAATTAAATTAAATTCCCCAGCAGGGAGAAGCAGCAATAAGAAAAGAAGGCCCATATAAGAAGGAAGGTGAGCGAGATCTAGCACATTCTCTCCTACAAACACTGCCCGTCAGTGAGGGCACAGGCCTGGTTGTGGGCTCACACAGGCCATGCTGGGGAGATGGGGAGAGACGAGGCACCCGCGTCTACAATAGTCCCGACGACTCAAGCAAACGTACAGCAGGTACTCACCGTCCGGGAGTCGGGGAGGGAGCAGCAGGCCCCTTCTGCCCAGTTCTGCCAGCGCCAGACATCCACCATGCCAGGCGTTGTCCGTCTCCTGGAAACTGAGAGCACACAGAATCGTGAGACCACCGGGCTTTCCGCCAGGCCCCATGTGCAGAAGTCCACACCTGATGCCCAGAAGCCTCACCAAAGCCCACCTGTGAGTTTAAAACATCAGCAGATACTGGAAATACAATAGTCCAATTTCACAGGAGAGCCCTCAGCTGCTGCCCTGGGAACCACAGCCCAGCTACCAAATCAGAGTTCAAAGAAATGACAAAATAAAGGCAAAGTAGTACTTGAGTTTAAACTCAGGAGGACAAGAGAAGCTACACTAAGACTGTTGGACTGGAGAAAGACCCACACACCTGACCAGAGATGTGTCTTTTGGGAGAAAATGTTCAATGCATGGGGGAGGGGCTTCAGGAGGGAGGCTGTGAGTGCAGCGGCGAATGGGAGGGAGGAAAGGGGGGAGTTCCATACAAAGGAGCTTTCACTGACCAGAGGGAAGGAGCAGATAAAAGAGCTAGAGGCAGACAGCCATCCCTGGAGAAGGGGCCAGAGGAAAAGCTCCCAAATCCCGTCTCAGAGCGCCGTCCTCTCTCAACGGCAAGACACTCCACCGTGGCCACAACAATGGCCACCCCCTCAGTGGCCGCCCGGGGACACCTCTGGGCCCAGCAGGGTCCCAGCACCATCAGCACGCCCATCACCACGCCACCAGAACAGAACTCCAGGAAGATGCCCTCAAACAAGCCAGCAGAACTGCCAGAAAAGACAGGGGAGTCCTGTTCCTCATCCGGGGCCCCCCAGGCCCGACAAGAAGTGTACGTTTCTGCGGGAAGTGAGTGTCTCCACGAGAAGGCACCCTGACCACGTGCGCACCATCATTCTGAAAAAGATGACCCACATCTGACATCCTGTTCCCTGCATTCCCGACACTGTCACCAAGCAGGCTCCAGGCGAAGTCGAGAGGAAACCGCTGAGGAGCACAGGCTCTGAGGGACGCTCGAGGAGCGGCCTCGGTGACTCACACACACACCTGAGCACCCAGAAGTGCTGACGGTGCCCTTTCCATACTCAGCGGCAACCCTAGGAGAAAAGCACCAGCTAATGAGGGCAGGAGTGCAACCACTGGCCTAGCAAACAGCACCCGTTCTCCAAACACCTGCTTCTGAAACCAGGAATGACACTTAAGCATAAACCCCCAGAGTAACTGCTCACCACGCCTGTCTCCAATGCACGTGCACACACCTGGGCTCACCTTGATGCCTGGGCTCTGCCCTGCCTGACCTGCAGGCCCCAGGCTCACACCCGTGTCCAGGGCAGGCCATCTGCCACCAGACTTCCTGCAAGGCTGGGACAGGTGCAACACAACCACCACCACGTGTGACTGCTGACACTGAAATCCGGCAAAATTAAAAACTTACAATTCGGACCTCGTGAAACCAGCCTCTTTTTATAAGTCGCAATAGTCACAGGCGGCTCGTGGCTGCCCTGGAGGCAGAGCCAGGACATTCCATCGTCACGAATGCTCCCTGGGACAGTGCAGACCACAGGTTCTCTCTAAGAATGCCTATGGATGGATGTTCAAGACTGACTTTTTTCCTTAAGGTTTATGAAATGTAACAAAACCTAAGCTGATAAAATATATCAGAAATACCGTGAGTTCTCAAATTCACTTCAAACAGAAAAAAACACACATAACTCTGGGGCTCTGACAAGAAGCTCAATTAAAGAAAATGCAAAAGGTCAGAGAGAAGAGCCACCACTTCCTGCCAGAAGTGCATCTCCCTCTCCCCTCCCACCCCCGCCCCGCACGTACCTGAAACAGTCCAGCACCGACCCCACCACGTCATCCGCCAGCTCCTGGGGAAGCCTTCCAGCCACCCTGCCGATTCTGGAAGAGAAGGGCCAGGCGTTCATCAGCACCGCCAGCCCATCATGGGGGCACACGCCAGGCCAAGAGCCATCCAGCCACCTCCCTCCCTCCAGAGAAGGGGAAGCAGAGGCTGACCCAAAGCCAGAGGCACACACTGCCCCACAGGACCCACAAGGCTGCCACAAACACACCTCTGTGCGCCTTAAGGTCGGATGCAAAGGGTGGGCACGCAGCACCCAGCACCTGCAGACCCTCCCGCCTGGCGGGAGGCCCCACTTCCACAGTGGACGCCAACCATAGGCTCCCGTCAGGCTACCTGATGTGGGACCAGCATCCCTGCATAGGCCCTGCCAGGCCAGGTCCTGGCCAAGTTCCCCAGGAAGGCCCCTCGCCGCCAGCCCATCCCAGTCCAACCGGACGTGACTTTGGACTCAGAGGTTGCCCTGTGCCCGCTGCAGCCTGAGTGCTCGTGTATCTGGATGATCAGCACAGAAGCCCGGGGGAACCCCTCCTCGCAGCATCCTCACTCCATTTTATGTTTCTCCACCACAGAGGGCTCATGGACGCCTTCACCTCCACTGTGGACTCGGTACCCCCAGTGCCCTCCCCACGGTAGATTCTGCCTGCGGGAGGCCTGGCCCTGCTGGGCGGCGCCTTCTGTGTAGGCGTAACAGAAGATGCCGGCCAGCCCCATCCTGTGGACCCCAGGACTAAATGGGACCTCGCGTGTCTGTGGGGGGTGGGGAACACTGGCGAGTGGGGCAGGCACACTGGCATATACTAATCCTGCCCATTCTAGACAAAAAAAAACAAGGAAATAAAGGAGCCTCAAGTCAACCTCAGTGATTCTCTTTAAAATGAGGACATAAAACAACAAACGTAAATTAGAAAAACCCCAGTTCCCAGACGCCACAGGAAGTGCTGAATTGGGTGATTGGTCTCCTTCCCAAGCCGCCAGCCCCTACACCCAGCGCTCAGCGAGATGGCTCACCTACCCTTTGGCTGCAGACCACCGCACGACCGTGTCCTTGTCCTTCAGCCCGACCAGCAGCTGCTCTACAGAAAACAGGAAGGAAGGTCCGTGGGCACCTGAGTCACTGCCTCACCTCCCAGCCTCAGGCACCCAGCCCTCACTCCACTGAGAGAGCACCATGGAGGGAATTGTGTTAATTCTAATGACAAGAAAAGCGCATTTCCTTCTCTGTTCTAACCATTTGAAGCCAACTTTTGCCATTGTGCCTCAGAAGCACATTCACCTGAGCAGCCCCAGGCACAAAGCACCAGGAAAGCCAGAGTCAACAGTGACCTGAGCCAGTGAGCAAGGCCCCGAGAAACACACCGGAGCCAGACGGGGACAGGGTCTTGAGGATGGGCCCAACTTTAAGAAAAGCCATGCAAAGGCCGAACGGAAGGAAGTTGGGATGGTGTCAGAGCCCTCACGGGAAGGGCCTTGCAAGCCCAGTGGGTGGAAACCTTGACGGAGGGCCCCAGGGAAGGCCTGCCATGGAGGAACAGGAGCCTGTGCTGGCGGACGAGTTCTCTGTGATGGGCAGTCTGGGACCTTGGGGGTGCGATCGGGGAGGAGGTGAGACACTGTCCTTCAGCACAGGGAGCCTGGAGCAGCGAATGCCAGAGCAGGAGCCCATCGGTGAGAGCGAGACTGACCAGGAGTCAGCAGAGGCTGGCCCTGCGTGTGGGGCCTGACCATGAGGCAG